TATCTGGAGGAGCAGGAGGGGTGAGTGGTGGGCAATATAGTGCACGTCCTCACTGGTACTCCGTGGCCCTCCCCACCGCGGTCTACCTTCCTGGTGTTGCTTGCCTCCAACACCAGTAACGTCGACACGTTGGCAGGTACCAATGTAACTTAGAAGAGAGAGAATGAGTAGAGGACAAGACTGGGTGCGAGGGAGGACGGAACGAAGGAATAAATGAATGAATGAAGGGAGCAAGGGAAGAAAGAAGGAAGAGAGGGAGGAAAGAAGGGAGGGAGGGAAGGACGAAGGGAAGTAGGATCTACTTTAAATTTATTTTCCGCGGCACTTCGCTAGCTTCGTAACACTAATTATCATGCGACGACAGCCTGGTTGATCAGAAAAGCTAGTGGATAGATGACTGGCGTATATAGAATGGAAAAAGGGTAATGGTCCATGTGGGAACAAGCTCGAGCTGTTTACTACCACCTGTCACGGTAGGGAACTTTCCCTGCTGTCCTCCTGGTCTACAGTTCCTCACCAATTATACCTCAAGAACCCAAGCTCCCCCCCCCCCAGCGGCCATGTTCACAACAGTGATGTTTAAGAACCTAATATTATATGGGAGACGGAACACCGTGTGCTCCGGAGAGTAATAACACATAACTAATGTTCACACACACGTCAAGCGTGCGTGTGTGTGTGTGTGTGTGTGTGTGTGTGTGTGTGTGTGTGTGTGTGTGAGAGAGAGAGAGAGAGAGAGAGAGAGAGAGAGAGAGAGAGAGAGAGAGAGAGAGAGAGAGAGAGAGAGAGAGAGAGAGAGAGAGAGAGAGAGAGAGAGAGAGAGAGAGAGAGAGAGAGAGAGGGGGGAGAGAGGGAGAGAGGGAAGACCAGTAGTATCAGGTATCAGAAAATTAACATACAAATTCTTTCAGTTACATAAAAGCTTCGGAGAATATACTCCGTTAATGCTTCTGTATATAACAAAACAAAAATTACTCGGTAAAAACACATTTTCGAATTCACCCTATTGTTAGACCTTCGTTTGTTTTTTATATTTTTTTATTAGGACTAGTACGTTAGGACAAGAGCCTATCATAGTTGTCCTGTTTCCGTAAAGGTATTCCTTATTCCCACTTTTACCCAATTATTCATTCCTCCATCCTTGCCCGTTGGCAGGATTGTTGGTCCTCTGTTACTGGTAACAAACTGTGTGCCCTTAAGAGTGGTGTGTCCCCGTGGCCTTCCTCCTACCATCGTAACCGGCGGTGGGAAACGGCTCTGGCGAGGTTGCGTAGTGGTCATACCCGCTAACTCACGGGCACTTAATGGTGCGCCGCCCTGCTCCTTACTGCATTGTCCCTCTTACTGTCGTGCATATCCTCGTTGAATGTTCGGACTTCCAGGACGTGCGTGTCTTGCTTCCCGACCGTCCCTCACGGTCACTTGTCCCGCGATAGAATACTTAGTGAATCCGGTACCTTTGATATCGTTCGCCTTGTGCGCCTTTGTTCTCGTATTGGCATCCTTAGTGATATTTAACTCCCTATGATTATCCTGCACCTTTGATGGTGCTACATCCGCTCCAAGCAACAGCCTGGTGGACCAAGCTCTCACAATTCAAGCTTGGCTTGGGGAGTAAAAGAACTCTAAGAACCAGAATTAAACAGGTATCATAATCTCCCCCGGCTTGGTGCCTTCTTTTGATAATTACTTCAAAGGATGCCTGATCAACCAGGCTGTGATTCATACATCAGTCAGCGACCAGCCGCGTCCAACAGCCTGGTTGACGAGAATACCAATCAAGAGGCGGCCTGGTCACACCATACCGGGGTATAGTGATCCCTATATATATATATATATATATATATATATATATATATATATATATATATATATATATATATATATATATATATATATATATATATGACAGTGTCAGACCACAGAGGAAGAATTGAAACAGGAATTTCCTTAAGTACTTTCGTATACAGTATTAATATCATTCCTTCATTAATATCATTAATATATCAATATATTAATATTTGTATCATTCCTTCTGAAGATGTATTAATATACAAAAGCACTTAAGGAAATTCCTGTTTCAATTTTTAATCCGTGGTCTGACACGGTCACATTTTTCATCGCGTTAATTTTCGTGATTTACACACACTATATATATATATATATATATATATATATATATATATATATATATATATATATATATATATATATATATATATAATGGTGTAAAGGTAGGTAGGTAGCTAGAGAGGAGAGTAGTGTGGTGGTTCACGAGGTCAACTTGTGAAGGTGATGTATGATGAGAAGGGGTGTGAAGGTCAGAGGCTGTATGGTAAAGTGTCCTCACAATGCACTTATATTTTAATGCCAGTACGTAAGTGAACTTAAAAGCACCACAATATTGACGCTTCCTGGGACTAATTAGCATGGGCTCCTCACACTGCTTCCTAGACGCCAGCCTCCGCCTCAGGTGTCAGCGTCTACCACCCCTGGAGGCTTCTAGGGGTCAGTAACCACACGTCGTTACCGTTACCGCTACACAACTTCTCTCCTAATTACTCTCCGAGAACCCATTACCCTGGTTCGACCTTACTTAACTGTTAGCCGGGCCCCGTCCACGACCCGACGCAGTTGTATACGCCTGCCAGCGCATGCTCCTCCCGCGTAAGTCTCGGCCTATGGCATGCTCCAGCCCCCTCATCTCCAACACTCTCCACCTTCTTCCCGGATACACCCCTTCACTCGAGCAGCAGCCGCCGCCCCTCACCAACACTGAGCACGGGTGCTGGAGTCACCAGCAACAGATCACAACTGACACACATGAGCAGTGTTGACCCGCTCCTGCCTCACCCCTCACCACCCACTCACTCCTCACGGACGTGCAACCTCCAAGAAAAACCTGTTCTTGTGTCTTATCGCTGATGACGCAGGACACTCGCGCATGAGATGAAACAGTCAACAGAGAGAAACCGTAAGGGTGAAGTGTTGTGTTATGGAGGAGAGGCCAACACTGGTGGTCCGCGGGGCTCTTGTGTTGACCTCCAGCACTAGCGGTACCCTCGGTCACTGCCCGTGCTCCCACCCACCACTCACGGCATCCAAATACCAACCCCATTTTTGTTTCATCGTCACATTAGGCACATCTGCATTTGTGCAGCTGCCCTAGACTATATGAAGGGGAAGTGCAGAGTCAAAAAGCTAGCTACGTGGTGCTAAAAAATTCCCCATCACACAGGATGGTTAGTCATACAGAGGCATGTGATAAGCAGTCTGCACTGGCAGACTCTGAGTGCATTATGAGGATATCATCATCAACACAAGAGTGAATAAGGCAGCAGTGATACTAAAAGTCCCCATCTCGCAGGATGGTTAGTCATACAGAAGCATGTGATATATAATTTTTTTTTTGGATGTGTGGAGGGGGGGAGATAGGAAGGGAGGGATAGGAAGGATGTGTGGGGGGGGGGGGAGATGGGAAGGATGTGTGTGGGGGGAGATGGGAAGGATGTGTGTGAGGGGAGATGGGAAGGCTGTGTGTGGGGGAGATGGGAAGGATGTGTGTGAGAGGGAGCATTGGCATACATTACACCCGAGCACTGTTGGGAACTTCTAGTAATTCATAAAGTTAACGAAAACAATTGCATTATATTTTTATAATACATTCACACTTGAAAATAATTTTCACTGCAATAATACTGATTCTCGTTGTCTCCTAATTTAGTGTGAGACTTGGGCTTACTTTTTTAAGACAACTTAATTCGTGGTCGTATCTTTGACAGGCACACACTAGTGTCTTGAAAAGTAGCATTGGTATGACATCCATTGTTTTAAAGGGAAGGGAAGTATCAGGGGAAAGTGCCAAGTCATTACGACTATATAGCACTGGGAAGGGGTCAGGATAAGGATTTGGGATGGGAAGGTGAGGGAATGAATGGTGCCCAACCACTTGGACGGAAGACGCAAGCACAGTACCTTTGGGTTAGTTTAGTCATTTATTATGCACCCCATACCCGTCCCGTGGGCGGTGGTGGAAAGGTTTACAGAGGCACATAATGGGTTCAGGCACTGAACCTCACAGTTCATTTAGTAACAATCTTGTGAAGCTAGTTACAACATTTTTAATACATATGCATATATAAACATGGACCAACGCATATTTACGGAGGTAATCTTGATCTTTACCTTGGTTTCAACGACTCCCACAGTTTTCGCCTCGTCGTCGTCGTCGTTGTGGTATCCTGGGAGGTTATCTTGAGATGATTGATTTGATTTTGAGGGAGACTGAGCTTTTCATGGTGGATGATCTGGATTTTACTTTTTAGACTATTACATTCAGGGTTCTGTTAGGAAACTGAAAATCCGTCTTCCTTTCAAGCGCATTTTGGGTGCAATAACACCATGGTTACATTTGAGAAAGTCTTTTGCTCGTCTTCCATGGCATCTATGGCCATATCATAGCAAGTAATTATCAAAAGAAGGCGCCAAGCCGGGACGACTGTGTAGCACCAAAAAAGGTCATGTCATAGTGGTCTAGTAATTGTGAGACAGGAACACCCTGTTCTAAACCCATAATGTGAACAGGATTATGGATATGGATTATGGATTATCCAGGATTATGGATACTTGTATACTTCAATTGTCTCCCCGCCCCACCACCTTACTCTGGGGCTGTACTCAGACATTCAGATTAATGGAAACTTACCGTTTTTTTAATCTTCATATAACAAGTTTCTAATAACTGAGATTACATTTTGAATCATTCTCGGTACGCTTTCTAGAATATTCGTGAAATAACCCTAACTGTCATTTGGATTACCTAATAATACGCGCGAGGAAGGAGAATAAAAGTAAAGGAGTTTTTAAGATATTTTCAGCCACGATCCTGGACCTAACATGATACAAGTATGTAGAGTTAACAGCCAGATATGACCTGGCTAGGATGTTAAGTATGACAAAGAGTTAAGGTGAGCCTCAAGCACACTCGCGCTCATACTTACTTTTTGAGAAAGAAGTCGATGTTGACGTAGTTGGAGTATTTGGGGGAGTCGGGAGGGTGGTCGGGGGCCGGCGAGCCTCCTGAGGGCGTGGCTCCCGACGACGCTCCACCTCCAGACTTGCTGAGGCCACCCTCGCTGGACGCCCCAGATGCTGCCGACTTGAGAGTGTCCGTGCCGTTGTACTCAGAGCTCTTGTCGGAGAGTAGGACGTACTCACCCGTGTCGTCGTCTTCGTCGGGGGCGACCGTGTCGTACAGCGGCTCGTCGTCGGTTAGATTCTCGAGAGAGGCTCCTGAAGCTGACCCTCCGCCAACCTCGTCGTCGTCTTCGCCACACCTTGAGGACGAGAGTGATGAGGTCTTACTGAGGCCAATGCGTCGGGAGGGTGCGCCCCCACATGAGGACGCACTCGACGACGACTTGGAGACACATTTCGTGCCTAAGCTGCCCGTGGAAGATGCGCTCGACGGAGACTTCTGTAGCTCTTTGGGGTTAGTGGGAGACTTTTGCATTTCCCGGTTACCCTGAGGTAACCTGTGCAGGTCGCGGGTGGCGGGGCGCCCGTCACTTGAAGCAGAGAGTGTCTTCTGCAGCGGCGCCTTCGTTGGGGCGGCGCTGCTCTGAGAGTCCCTGCCGGGGGACGGGTGACGGGGGCGCTGGGGAGAGCGTGGGATAGCGTGGGGAGGACGAGAGGCTCCTGGGGAAGATGGCGTAGTGGCAGTCTTGGCCTCGGCTTCGCCGTCTGCACCAGTAGATCGCCGGAAGGTCTTGGGCGGCGGGGCAGGTGGAACCTTCCGTCCACGAGCGTCCTCCCCTTGGCCGGCACCGTTGACAGATATGACAGTGACGAACTGCGACTCCTTCCCCAGTACGCCGCCGGAGGTTGTGGCGGGGACTGAAGTGGAACGGTTGTAAGCTGGGGGCCGGCCTGCTATACCGGGGTAGCCTGCTGAGGTTGTAAAGCGACGGGCGAGGTCCCTCACAGAGCTGCCCCCAGCGGGAGGAGGGGCAGCCAGGGGGGTTATAGGCGCCAAGGGACCGTCATCTTCGTCTGAGAGCGGTGCTGACCTGGGACCCTCCACTTTAAGGGGGGATTGCGGGTCCTCATTTGACCTTTCTTCTGGAGATTCCAGTTCTTGGACGGGGGAGGCCAGGTCCCGCGCGGGGTGGTGATGGTGGTGGCGCTGCACCATCATGGTGTTGATTGCCTGAGTCACAGCAGAGTCAATCCCACCTGAGCACATCGGGGCCGCCCCTTCACTCCCCTCACCCTCGCCTCTCTCTTCCTCCTGCACTATCTCCCTCTCCAACTCCTCAAACTCGCCTGTCTGCATCTGCTGACGCTGAACATCATTCAAGAGGCACTCTAAATACTCGACATAAAACTGTTCCTTCTCCAGCTCTTCCTTTAAGACAGCAACTCGCGAGCGATGCTTGGCCAAGTTAGCACGAACATCCTCCTCCCATGCCGCCGGCAGATCATTCCCGGGGAACCTGGCACGCCACGCCTTATGGAACTCACTAAACACACTCATGACGCTACCCACTTCCTCATCCTTCACCAAGAAGACACTGGTGAGGGCATGATGAGACTCTACAACCTATCTGAGGGAGCACTCACATGTTGCGGCCCGGCACACCCGGCACACACCTCACCTGGCACTAGCTCAACGCTCACTGAAGTAAACAAAGCGGACGATACCCGACCCCTCCCGCGTCAGGAGCGTCAAGCGAGACCCTCCAGGAACCTCTTTCACCAGCCTCTCACTTCTCAACCATCATTAAAAATCTAAATTTTTAAATTCTAAAAAACAACTGTATCGTATAACACTTTAATATTCTTATTGAACACTTGTTTTTGTGTTCACATTCATAATTCTGACTTGGAATGTAAACAAACATATTTGTTTTAAGTGTATTGATTATATGATAAATATATTTTTACATTATATTTATTTAAAAATAAAATATTATTTTATAAGACTGTTTTGCCTCTATTGATGCATATTGTATTAATTCGTGAGTAAATGAATGGTTCACAAAATGTCGTCTGCATCTACTGAAAAACATTATTAATGTGAATTTCTGCTAACATAGATATATTAAAAGAATTATAAAAATTCTATAGTAAGTTTGTGTATGCAATTGTTTGATTAAAGTATGTATTAAATGTGTTAGCAATGTTGAGAGTTGGCGGAGGTGGCGACAGAGGGCGGTGGCGGCGGCCAGAGGCACTACCACCACCAGCAGCAGCCGCCCCACACCACCACCATGTTGACCAGGGCTCTTCTCGCCTCCCGGGCTCTCATTAAACCCCCCCGTGAGTATCTGCTGCAACACTTGCACAGCTGGACAAGCTCGTGTGCAGGGGGAGGAGTGTATAACCCCACCACCGTGTTAAGAGTACTGCTCGGCTCGTCTCCTCACGGCACCACACTGCCGGTTTCCCCTATTTTAGTTTCTGCTAATTTCATAGGTTGAAATTTTATAGTCATACAAAGGCTTAATTTCCGGCTTGTAATGATGAAAGAGTATGAGGAGAGGCGTAGTGTAAGAGGAGAGGTGAGTGTGGTGGTGGAGGAGCCGGCTGTGTTACGGTGCTAATTATAGTGCTCTTAATACTACTCAATACTTGAGCAGGTAATAGTTCATCACACCTCTCTATACCATCATATTGTATGGAACAAACGGGAGTTTGTTGGACAAACTAACATTTTTTTATTGGGCTCAGACGTTACAACATACAAAAAACATGATTGTGTATGATAATGCACACAATACGTATGAAGATATTGTGAATTATAATTACAAGGCAACCAGACACTACTACAAATACAAAATACACATATTTATTCTGGTTAAGTACATACATACAAGGTGAGTTACAAAAATTGCTGGATTTATAGATAGAGCTAGTACATACAATGCCTAAAGCCACTATTACGCAAAGACGTTTCGGGCATAAACTACTATAAAAAATGTTAGATAGCTGGCCATGTTGTCTTGTAGTATAAAATAAAGCTGCATTGATACTTGCTTTCATAATTCTAATTGGCATACTAATACTGTGTAATAATTGTTTAAATATACAAGTTTGGGTGTTAAGACTGTGTTTAGTATTTCTTATGTTTACTATAGTCTTGGTTCCAGCATTTCAGTGTTGGAAAGGTAATGACGTGTCGTGAGATCTGAGATGAGTAAGTGATAAGAGCCATGCAAAAAAGAACATTAATTACAACTTTGAGATGGAAAAAAGAATTTGTAGTAAAATATTTAAGTGGCATCCACGTGCTACCGAGTTTGGTATTCCTAAATCTAGTTCTCTAATAAAAGAAATGTGTGCAAAATGGGGGGGGGGGAGTGCCAAGATTTCTTGTAAAATATCAAACTGACAAAGCTGTGATAATGGTGGGGGGGGGGGAACCCTTGCCAATGAATAATATTTCCTCTGCCTCACCACCTTCCACAAATGCCATCAACTCTCTTAAGTGCAATTAAAGTGTATACAGTACAGTACTGTATTTGCATTTATTTCATTTATTGATTGTACTGTATTAATATATATTTTAGTGTTCTGAAATGGATTAATACAATTTACATTATTCCTTGAGAAAAAAATTGTTCAGTACTTGAATGGATCCACACACAACCGACCTTTAGGAACCAATTAAGTTTGAGAACTGAGGTTCCAATGTACAAAGAAATAATGAGCACTAGCAATGTGTCAACATCACGTAGAGAAAATGACCATTAACAATGTACTGTACTTAAAATCACGATCGTTAACGACTTGTGTTCCACTTTAGAACCTGTTTCCAACCCTGCCAATAGGCCCTGCAGCCTCCTTCCTTTTTTCTTAAGGTGGCTTGGGCAGGCTGTTGTATGTTCCATCTTGGACTGAAAGATGTTAGAATGTAAGAAGTGTTGGCTGGCTGTTGATAGTTTGTATTGATACCTTGGGTGATGTGTAGAGATTACATGTTCCTTGATGGGGGCCTTGCTATTTGTACATTGTCAGGCACCTTGAAAAAGTTGTTGTTTTCCCTATATATTAAGATTGAGTGGGTTGACATGCCCCAAATGGGCATATGGAGGAATATATGATATTAGAATCTTTCAAGGCATTTTGTTTGGTGCCTGCAGAGTTCTTGTCGAGTGAGTTGGCAGCAATCTTGCTCTTATATTAACTATCTACTGGTTGATATCAGTAAGGGGTCATTTATCAATATCTTTCAGGGGAAACTCCTCCATTGCTCTACCTTAATTTTATCTATTTCGACTCTGCCTTTGAAATTGTTGACAGCATCAACAAAATGCATCTTTCAGAATCTGGTCATAAATAAGCTGTAAATTAACTTTTGGAAAGTAAGAACGAATATAATTTTATTGTACGATAACCCTGAAAAGTATTGGTTTTGTTGGTCAGAATTAGGATTGTCTTACTATTATGAATTTGATTTGGCTTAAAATACTATTGACACTTTTTTGCACCTTGCAGAAATGAGCCGGGGTATGGCTGTTGTGAAAAACTTCAAACCTACAACTATGAATGACTTGCCAGTTCCACAGGGATCGTGGCAAGAGCTGCATTCAAAGAGGCAGCGTTTATATAACATTCATCTTATTGCAGGGATTCTTGCTATACTTACCACTATAGGTGTTGTGAGTATTGGTGTTTGAAATTTATAGTTTTCTTAATGTATTGCTTTAACTTTATTACTGTATTAGGTGATGGTGGGCCCATGGTTACTGACTGGCAGTTGAGATGTTACAATATAAAAACAAAGGTAATTGCAGATGATTTGTTGGCCCTTACAAAGTAAGTAATTATCAAAAGAAGGCTATGTAGCACCATCAAATGTACAGAATAATCAGAGGGTGCTAAATATCACCAAGGTGGCCCTATCAAAGCAGCTGCTAATACTGTGTAGTCACATCCACATATATATAGTACTGTACATGTTAAACCTATACGTAAAATCATCCATCACCCCAATGTTGCACGAGTGACTCGTGTTCCAACTTGACATCTATTCTTTTCAGTATCTAAATTCAGCCTATTATTTATATTTGTTGTTTTATGTTCTTATGTTAGGTATGTAATACCTGGGGTAAATACTGATTTGGAAATAAGATTGTAGATTTATGGAGCAAATTACACTTTGATATACTACTAATGACCATTTGATTGTTGTGATTACAAGTATAGTATACGAATGAGTTTAGGTGGATATCGGTAAGAGATACAGTACTTCATACTGGTTAATGAGCATTTTGCAGCTCTTTATTCTTCTAATCTTATGGAGACTCAAGCTGGAGCCTTTGCTTGAGGTTAAGGCTGCTAAACAAGGTTTTTTCTGTGGGGAAACTACTACCCAAACCCATACTAATGTATTAAGTTAGACGTCTACATTTATAATAACACTATTTCTATCAGGCAATACTGTATATATATATGACCTACCTCAGTGTAGTGATTATTCACTTGCAGTATAATAAGTTCTCTTAAAAGGATATTAGATAATTTGACTAACTTAAATTCTTCACAGAACCTGGGTGTTTTCATAAAATCTGTAATTCTGTACTGTACACTTCCTTTGAACCTAGACTGTTCCTGATTGTGTGTAATAACCTAGTGTACTTGCAGGATGAGAGCTACACTCATGGTGTCCTGACTTCCCAGCACTGCCATATACCACTTTGAAACTACTGTACTAATGGTTTGGCCTCTACCATTCTGGTTTTCTTCTTCCACTGTAACCTACAGTGTAAAACTGCTCTGGCAAGGTTACATATTGGCCATATACGTATAACTCATAGTCACTTATTGGATCGCCGCCCTGCTCCTTGTCCCTCTTAGTCGTGCATGTCCCTGTTCAATATCCCGACTTTCAGGCCGTGGGTGTCTTGCTTCCTGATTGTTCCTTGCGGTCACTTCTCTCGGCAGAATCCTTGGTGAATCCGGTACCTTTAATATCGCTCGCCTGTGCTTTTTTGTTCTCGTATTGGCATCTTTAGTGATATTTAGCACCTACTGAATATCCTGCAACTTTGATGATGCTACATATTCTCCCCCACCTTGGTGCCTTCTTTTGATAATTTGTGTACTTGTATACAAATATCAAAATGGGTTCCAATTCCCTCCAAAAAGTACTTGACAATAGGGACAGAAATTTTAAGAGAATTTCTAGTCTCGCTGAATATAATTAAGAGGGTGCCACTAAAATGTAAACCATATTGTTGCAGACCCAATATGGGTGTACTAGATAAGTATCTAGATTTCTAGAAATAGGCTTTATGCTGGAGGGGGGGGGCTATTTATTAGCAAAAATATGGATTTTTAGCAAGTGATACAATGCATGCTTTTGCATTTTCACACACAATACAGAAATTTTATAATTATAAATAAGTGTAAAAAATGAATATATCCTTTTTTGTAGCACAGTGTTTATAACACAAGATGCAGCAAAATTCAGTTAGTGCTGTATTTTGCCATCTGTTTCATCATGCACCAGAACTGGTCTTTAAAACCTTAATATCCATGCATATTGCCATTCTGCAACTGCTCATCAAGTTGCATAAATCATTAATACACATCTAAATCTTCATTCTTGGAAGGTTACAATGCCTTTGTCATTTCTTTCCATCACTGCTCTCCATTGTATTCATAAACTATATATCAACATGCTTTGCTGTTGTCGGAAAGACCACTAGTACAAATGTCATGTGACTGCCAGCGGCTTTACTCCCCGGTCACGATCAGCTTTTCTAATAATACTGCCTTATTACCCATGGTAAGGAAATTCCTCTTAGCATTGTCTAATGTATCTTGAGTTATCTTGAGATGATTTCGGGGCTTTTTAGTGTCCGCGCAGCCCGGTCCTCGACCAGGCCTCCACCCCCAGGAAGCAGCCCGTGACAGCTGACTAACACCCAGGTACCTATTTTACTGCTAGGTAACAGGGGCATAGGGTGAAAGAAACTCTGCCCGTTGTTTCTTGCCGCCGCCTGGGATCATACCCAGGACCACAGAATCAAAAGTCCAGCGTGCTGTCCGCTTGGCCGACCAGCTCTGGTATAATACTGTACACATACTATTGCCACATGACGTGGGTTCAATTTGCAAATAATGCATCGAAAGAAATGCTCAAGTAGAGAGGGGTCAGACTGCATTTTCAAGGAAAACACAAAGTACAGTATATAATCACGGTAGGTCCTGAAACCTTGGGAAAAACTTTTGTTCATTTTATCGTACAGTATAGTAAAACATTTTGCAAATTAAACAAGGTGTCGGTTTCATATATTTTATAATCTTAAGAGTACATCCCTCTACAGAGTCTAAGAAATTTTTTGTGTGTGTGTACTGACTACTTATGCCTGCAGGATTGAGCTGTTAGCTCTTGGACCGTGCCATCTTATCGTCGGTTGACTGGTGTGTGTGTGTGTGTGTGTGGTGTTTGAATACTGGTGGCCATATTTGGTCTATTGTTTAGAAGGATCATTATATAGAATTTTGAATTAGGAAGGAATTGTATCTCCTTTAATTATGCATAACATTATATACCATTTAAACTGAGGAATACAGTACTCTGCTCTTAAGTTTTGTAGACCCCTCTATACAGTCACACAGGCACATGACCAATGGGTTACATGTGAAATAGTGCATGGAAAATATAACATAGATATTGGATTAAATTGGTGTGGATTCAGTGGTAGACTTGGCGGTGTCCCAGATATACACATTGACAGGGAATTTCTTAACTGCTTTTAATTTTTACGTTATCAATCTTTGACTTCAGGAAATTGAGCACAAGCTCTACATCAAAGATCCGACTATATCTTCAGAGAGCACAGAATGCTCAGTACAGTATTCTTGGATGGCCAATTACTGTAAAGGGTTAGTCTAGCACTTAATTCGTGTTACTAATTAATCAATATGGTGCAATAGATTAACTTGATGGCTCGTGAAAATGCAAGATGTGCTAGTGATGGCATTAATTACAAAAACCCTCCTAGCTGTACAACCCACAATAGAATGGCCTTGCCTCCCAGCTTGGTTGCACTTCGATAACTGAACAACACAGGATTTCAAAGCGAAACCACTAAAACAATCTGAAGCGATCCTTGGGGGGTCAAGTAGATTTTTCAATGGATGACTTTGCAGTGATATAGGCCTACAAAGATAGAGTACTTTTACACTATTGTTTGAGTGTGACCGTAGGTCGTGGTTTTGTAAAAGTGCTAGGCTTCTAACATTGCTAGTATTTAATTCCAATACAGTATATGTATGGAGCTGTTACCTTACAAGCTTCAACATCAATCCTTACTAAAAATAAAAGCTGTCAATTGGGGTTAAGTAGGATGCCCTAAAATGTCGGCAAGGAAGTTGACTACGCAATTGCACATGCTATATTATTTAATAATCAATGGAAAATTGCCACCATTACAATACTACCATCAATATTTTTTACACTGAAATAATTACAAAATTGTATATTATTATCTTTATATTTTTATTTTCAGGCAAAGGAGTCTGGTCTTGTTCGGTTCTACTTTGGTCCCAAGATTGGCAAGTAAAGTGTTCATCAACTTGTACATATGGCATTTACAGTCCCAACAGTAAATTTAATATGGTTACTGTTGGAGAGCCAAGGATTTTGCATGCACATTTTGAAGACACATTGTATAGTATATAATTACAATTGTTAGTCAAAATTTATAAAGGTACTGTACATTGTATAAAATACTTAACCCTAGTTATAAAGATTCCTCTAATAACACTGTAGATAATTGTAAATGTATACAGCTGTGCATTTCATTCCATGGTGAAAATAAAACTTTTTAAAGTTACTTTATTTTTCTACAATCCTTTGTTCAAAGAACCCTTATCTGTTCTCTAATTCTGAATATTGGTATTTCATTCCTCACCACTTTAATGATGGAAAATGCCCTTTTTCTACAGATATCACTCGTGTACTGGTGACCTCTGCAAAATTTGATCCAAATAAGAATTACAGTACTGTACAAAAAATGATACTTTCTCCTTTTCCTATTTTTTAATGCTTTCATTTTTTGGAAGGACAATGGGGTATACTTGTACAGTTTCTCATTAAACACATTAATTAATAAGAAAATAGTATATTGTATATCCACATTGCAAACCAGTTAACCATCTCTTGGAACTAGAAGGCTGATTTTTTTATCATTAACCCATCTCCACAATACTACCAAACGAGTTTGACAATTTTCTTAAAGGAAGTAGATTTTTTTAGAATAAGCTATTTAAAGCATATTTTTAAAATAAAAATATTTTATGATGCAAATATTTTGTTAAATTTAAATAGTCATAATTGATCAAAAAAGCTTCTGGAATTTGTAAATCAATTTAATTATTGAAAGTGCCTTTAACAGGCTAATTTACACAAAAGCCAATGGTCATTTGGCTGGGCTGTGATAATATTGCTTAACCTTTGCTTTATTTCATTGCAATAACATGTAACAATCAAGCTCATTGAAAATATAGGTATGCAACTATATATAAAAATTATGGCATTTATAAACAGAAGTTGTTGAAAACATTGCTGTATCCTTCGATGATCCTATTGATTATAAATTGCCAGAGTCCAAGACCATTCTTGAATAAAACAATCAGATAAGCCCGTACTTGTGCCAAAAGAAAAGTTTGCACTGAATTCTTTAACATGGCATATGAAGTAATGTGAAAAAAAACTTGCAAGCTAATAGATCTTAAGAACAAATTAACACCCTAACAGAAACCAGAACAAGAAATTTGTAGGCCTACTCCGACATATTCTAATTATCTAAAGGTGTTGGATATCTGAAACAAATATATCTCACTCAGCACTCATACTACCAAGTTCATCCATCAATATCTCTTGGTATCTGTGTCTAGGGTTCTACCACAACTATATTCTTAACACGACCTAGTTCCAACCCTGGTGTCCACTCCAAGTTACACGACAAGAAGTGTGTGATGTTCATAGTGGAGCCCGACCACAGCACACGAGGTACCAAACACTTAATAATAATAAGAATAAATAAGAATAAATAAGATCAAATGTAGATGAATATAGATACAAAGTACAGTGCATGTGGTAATATTAGATGGCTTATGCATTATTTAGAATTTGTAGTGTTTATAAAGCCCCAAGTTACACTAAGCGCTGTAGTCGGTATATTGATAAATGTTTGCCTTTGCTAGAACGGAATTAATAAGTATTTTATTGACAAACTTCTGAGCTTTGTATACAATACAGAACTGACATGAACTTGTAATTTGAAACTTTTCCTCAAAATTCACCGGATAAGAGATCAGATTAAAAATAATATTGTAATAAGTCTTGCTTACAACTCTTGAATTAATTTGTCCACCTGGTATAATTAATTATTTTTAATTAATTAATCCGTATAATTAATCCACTAGGATTAGTGGGACATATTACAGATATTTCGAAATTGTTGTGTAACAAAAGAGCCCTATTTCTTTAGAGTTTTCTTTTGGAATTTAAAACAAAAGTGTAGACCCCACACTATTAGTGAGACAACTGAACAGTCCGGTTGGAAATATAAAGCGATCTATTGGCTTACTGGAAAGATGATCGTACATAGTTACACCGTGCAACTGCCTCCCTGATTTTTGTTAATTATTAGTAGGTGTGTGAGGTGCAGCGTTGGTGAGAGATAAGATAGCGTGGAGGCAGAGGTCTTGTGGAGGCAGTTGGTAGCTTGTGAGGGCCGAGGCCACAGTCACTCCCGCCACGTACTCCTTGGTAAGTAACTTTCATACCTTGGCTACGTCCCCCACACCTATCATCACCCGCTTGTGGACACGGAAGCTCACACTATTTCACACAGATCCTTCTGCAGTCAGGTCTCACTAGCTCTTGGTTGTGCCTGTAAGATAAACCTGGCGCAGACTACCTTCTTTCAGTATCTATTGCAGGTGATTGGTACATGATCGAGGACGTTGTGTTGGCGGGGTTTCAGTGGACTTTACTCCCGTAGTAGCAAAAATATCTAAGATGAATATTCATAATTATTTGAGAGTTAACACTTATATTTAAGTGTTTTATCTGGCAGGAAGGTCAATACACAGTTCTGACACTTGGGTGATATATATACTTCAATACACTACACAGGGCAAAGTGGGTAACGGTATTCCAATACTGAAAATAATCTGGGTAAACAATGAGTTGTAAGAACAATTAAATATGGATAACTAAAAAGTTAAAGGAGGCCTTTCTTATATAAACAAATAAGGCACAACATTAGCTCAACAACGTATTGATCACAGTGATGCAGACTAAACTTTTCCTCATACCATTAAACTTTCACTGCTTGGTTGTTCCATCTTGCATGATGCCTTGATTCTTAGAATTATATATTTGTATCCTAACAATTCTTTTACGTCTAATGTCAATAGCAAGCATGCGCAGAGCTCCATTGCGCTAGTAACATGCACACTAATTATAAAATAATTTTTGTGTCGGGGGACAGGCAGCCAGTTTATACATACAGTACATGATAGGCTTGTATCATGTACCTTATAGGCTTATACCCTGCACACCCAGCAATAATTGGGAACTTGAATGTAAAACAATTTACGGATCGTGTTCTTGTGAAAATCTGGCGCTAAATAATCAAACCGATTCCAGTACCTGACTCATGACCAAACTGTTAAAAGCTGATTATATGTTTTTTTTCTCCGCCTGACTGTATGAAGCCGAGAGCTGCCTGTGGCGTGAACACAACTGACGTCACACGACACACTGACGTGACTAGCATAGTGGACAGTTATATATATCTTATACCCAACTTTACATTTGTCAGCATTAATCTGCATCTGCCAATTTTTAGACAATTTCAAATCCCTGTTCAAAGCGTCCTGAAGTGATTGTGATTCTTCGTGTTTATTTCACTCCAGATTTTCGTATCGTTAATTTGCGAATATTTCTGCAAATATTAATCTAAATCATTTGTAAATATTATAAATAGCAGAGGCCTCAGGACAGAGCCTTGTGGCACTCCACTGACAACGGTTTCCCATTCATTTATACATGATCACCACATACAAAATTCTCAGGGAAATTGACAGGGTAGATAAAGACATTATTTAACACAGGTAGTACTCGAACAAGGGCACACCGGTTGAAACTGAATACCCAAATGAGCCACAGAGACATTAGAAATACAATTTTCAGTGTTAGAATAGTTAATAAATGGAATACATTAGGAATTGATGTGGTGGAGACTGACTCCATACACAGTTTCAATTGTAGATATGATAGAGCCCAATAGGTTCTGGAACCTGTACACCAGCAGATCGACAGTTGAGAGGCGGGACCAAAGAGCCGAAGCTCAACCCCCGCAAGCACAACTAAATATGTACACACACACACACGTTCGTTAAACAAGGCTCGACCAAACAGCTGACGATGGCGAGGGTCAGTCAGTCAGCTGGTGAGGCAAAATATACACTGAAGGTGGCGCCACTAACATTCAGTCGACCCACCTAACTCACACTTCCACCCACCTAGCCCACACACCCACCCATCCACCCACCATGCCTTCACCTCGCCACCTACATTCCACCTCCGCCGTATCTTGTAGTCGCACTTGATCTTGGAGGAGGAGGAGGAGGACTTTCCTTGGAGAGTAGAGGCCAAGACTTGGACAAGTATAAACCCCCTACGTCATAGGTGCTCACTAAAGTTAAACACACTCACCCTAACCCAACCCATCCCAAGTTAACCTAACCAAAACAAGAGATTAAAATGTTATGTTTTATGTATGATGTGAAGATGTGACGTCACTATGGCGTCATGAGGGTGGCAGAACAGGTTCTGGATCCCACTGGCCTCAGAGGCGTACCAGAAGATGCACGTCGACAAGGACCACCTGATACGACCCATCATTACGACGTCTGGTGCCACGATAACAGCAGCTCACGTCAGGCTTGCAGGGCGGAGAAACACTGCACAGGATTAAACCATCAAGACTTGTCATGGGGGACTTTTAACGGTACATCTCAACCCCACCCACATGCACCCCCACCCGACCCGCCCACAACCACACCCGCTCCACTCAAATGATTTCTCCATCCACTGACATTGATCTTTGACCTTCCAGTCTCGTAAGAAGAGATGAGGGACTTTGGTTGGTTTCCTACCTCCACTGACGGCGCTCACGCACTCGCCGACCACACAATTACACTCCCAACTTAACAATAAAGATTATCCTCACTGAGTGCTTCAGTAACCAGCACAGTGTAACGTGTACTGCTTGACGATAATCCTTTGATTCTTTACTCCGTCGTGCTCGTACCAGCACAGACGATTACTGGTTGTGGTGCATATAAGGCTTATAGGGAAGCCCTAGCCTCGCAGGGAAGCCCGAGCGAGCCTCGTAGGGAAGTCCGAGCCTCGTAGGGAAGTCCGAGCCTCGTAGGGAAGTCCGAGCCTCGTAGGGAAGTCCGAGCCTCGTAGGGTAGCCCGAGCCCCGGAGGGAACCATTAGCCACACAGGAAGGTAATCAAGAGGGGAAAACAAATAAAGAAAGGAAGAAGGAAATATGAGAGAGTAGCGGTGTGTTTGTAGGGGGAGCAGTGTTACCTGGAGAAGGTTCTGAGAGTTCTTCTTTTCCCTGGGGTCAGGCCCCACTTGTGATAACTTGGTCCAACAAACTGTTGCTTGGAGCGGCCCGCAGGCCCACATATCCACTACAACCCGGTTGGTCTGGCACTTCTTGCAAGAACTTGCCTAAGTGCCTCTTGAAGACATCCACCTTTGTCCCTGCAATATTTCTAAGGTTTGTTGGGTTGATCAGCTGTGGACCTTTGATGTTCAGACAGTGCTCTCTGATTGTGCCAATGGCACCTCTAATCTTCACTAGTTCTATTCTGCATTTCCTTCCATATCTTTCGCTCCAGTATGTTGTTATTCTACTGTGCAAATTTGGCACCTGACTTTCCAGTATCTTCCATATATATATTTTTTGCAACCCATTCTCCTGTTTAGATAGTAGTTTGTGTAACTATGTGCACTAGTGTACAAAGGTTGACGTACTAATCAATTAGATTGTAGAACGTTATACTATTCACTTTATAAAGTCGGAAACAAATGAAGCTAAAAAACAAATTTAAATATTCCTAGACCTAATATAGCACATACATATGTACTATATTAGGCCTCAGATATAGTGTATTAGGCCTAGGGAGGTCAGGTTAGGTTAGTTTGTCTTTGCAACATTAGTAAAAAGTTTTCCTGTTTGTCTATCCGATTTTTTATTTAGTGCCGATTTTTACTTTCTAATTTCATTGTACGTCGGTATATATACTATGGTCCTCATTGTTGCTACAAGTACTACCAGAACAGGAGGATAGGCTAATTATTTGATACCTTTCTCTCTCCTTTCCAGAGAGCATTGAGACGGTCCCAAAAATTTAGATGTTTTATCATGAGTATGCGTGCCGTATATGTTCTCTTTAGTCTCTCTAATTCAGAGATCTCTCCTGCTGAGAAGTGAGAAGTACCGAGCAGTACTCGAGACGAGACAGCACCAGTGATTAAAATAGTATTGTTGAGGGCTCTCTGGATTTGAATGTTTTCATAATACATCCTATCCTTTTACTGGGCGCCGCTATATTTGCTTGGTAATGTTCACTAAATGTCAGGTCGTCAGACATCATAGTTCTACATGTTGCTTTCCTTCTATAATAGTGTCTGAGTGTGTCCTGTACCCTGTGTTTCGTTTAGGCTCATCGTTTCCACCATACCCAAGTAACTTATCATCGTTAAACATCATGTTAGGTTGCCCAATCAAAAAATTTATTAATATCAGCTTGTAGTTTTTCAGTATCTTCTACAGTGGGAATTTTCATGCTGAACTTTGTATCATCTGCAAAGGATGACAGGAATGTGTTAGCCTTTGTGTTGTAGATGTGTTGTGTGATGAATGTTTTGTGAATGTGTCATATATTGGCGGTGGTGGTGGTGGTGGTGGAGGTAGTAGTGGTGGTGGTGGTGGTGGTGGTGGTGGGTGGAGGTGGTGGTGGTGGTGGTGGTGGTGGAGGGAGAGGGGGCGGCGAGAGAGAGAGAGGGAGTCAGTGTGGTGTTGACTGTGGTGGAGGAGAGGCCGCCAGTGTAGCCAGCAGCAGCCCGCCTCCGACATGAGACAACTGGCTCACGACCCCTCCGCCGCCCCTCAGGTCTGTCTTTATTACTCTTACACCTACAATTCATTTTCTTTCTTTATTATGCACCCCATACCCATCCCGTGGGTGGTGGGGGGAAAGGGTTAGAGGCACATAATGGGTTCAGGCACTAAACCCATAGTTCGTTTAGCTAAATCTTTTGATGCTAGTTACACAATTATTAGTCAAATATACATATATATATATATATATATATATATATATATATATATATATATATATATATATATATATATATATATATATATATATATATATATATATATATATATACACACAATCATTTACACAAATATATATACACATCGATAATCTTTTGTATCACAAGTGATTCAACAAGAGGCTCACAACAGTCACTATACAAGGCACTTTACATCTATGGTGAGTCACACAGTTACTAGTCTTGCTCCACACCCACCCAACTGGGCGGCAGCTTTACAGTCATGTGCTCCACACCCACCCAACTGGGCGGCAGCTTTACAGTCATGTGCTCCACACCCACCCAACTGGGCGGCAGTTCTACAGTCATGTGCTCCACACCCACCCAACTGAGCGGCA